TCAGCAACATTGTGGTTGTATTTCGCTTAGTAACCTGCCATGAAAATTATAGAAGGCAGAAAACAAAACGTTAAAACAAAGTCATTGGATTCTTTCTACAAGGACATTAAAGTACGATGTTTCAGTAACAAGACTTGGAGGACGCTCTAGTTTTACTTGGAATTGGTAGGAGAAGTATCCGAAAAAAACAGTGTTTAACATTTTGTCTACTATCTGTTGTTTCTTTTATGGCAAGATTTGTGTGAAACACAGTTAAAATTGCAACTCCACTATCCACTACAATGCAGCACCAAACAATTTTTGCCATATGGTTGTCTCCTTTCGAACCTCTTTTTCCTATGGGTATGGTAGCAGGTCGATAGATAAGTTGTATTTTCGTAATGTACTTCCGATATCAGTCAGATAGAGTTTTTGTGAAGTATGCGTTCATTTTATGGTCTACGAACCTTGATGGAACTGCATGTAACTTGACACAGTCAAACGCTTTTTCATTGTTGACAAAAGCCAGATCTTGGGTGCAGCTGGTACTTCCAACGGACTTTTATGACACATGAAGTGGTTTGGATGCGGTCCACGCAGGAGACTCGCGGGCAGAATCTTGCTTATTGCAGTGGCATAGCCTCATCCAATGTCCTTGTCTTACGAGCCAGTATAATCTTCGTGAAGAACTTGTAGACTACAGTCAACAAATATATCGAACGATAGTTGCGAAGATTACTTCGGTCACCCTTTTTGGGCACGCTGACCGTGGGCAACGCCCTTTTCTGGTCTAGAATTCCTTCCTTTTAAAAGTAGAATGGCGTATGATCTGTGAGAGACACATTTAAATTATGGGTTTTACCTCTGAAAAAGTTGGTGCTGTTGTTATCGGGTCATCGTGTTGTACCACTTTCCATGTTCTATACCGCAACTGCAACCTCAGATGGAAGAATTTTAAGTGGTTTGTTTTTTAGCGAAAATTTTAAGGTCTAGAAGTAAAACTGTTGATTTTAAAAGTTTGGTATAGAACTTCGTCGTTGTTAATTCCGTGTCATGGTGTGATGTTTTGGTGATCCCGCCTGCGTTAATCAGGGCTTACAGCGGAATATTATAGTCCTACGAGTCCCCACGACATTTTTCAGTCTAGTTCTCTCTTGCGCTGCTTCAAATAGTTCATTCTGCCTACAGCAATTCAAGTCAACCTGCAAGGCTTTTCTTCATCTGGTATTCATTATTCGCCGTGATGAACGTGTTGCAGTATCCTTTATTGGTAATGGAGATGCGACTTGATGTTCTTTCTTAAGAAACTGAGGCAAATTCAGCACAATTTTCAAGTCCTTCGACAAACAGCTAGCAGTTTTTTTTCTGTCTTTCTTAATTTGCCAGTCAGGTCGGATAGGATCTTGTTTACAATATTCTGGACATGCACAGCTAAAGTTTTTCTTTGTGGTCGGTGACATGAGGTCTTTTCCACCTTATGGTTGAATCGAATCTTCCGAATGGGGCGGTGGTCGCGACCATCACACAGTGATAGGATTACCGATATGTCAAGTTGACACTATCTTTCTTCGTCAATAGTATGGTCGATTTCCGCATGAGCAATGTCTAGCGGCGGCTTTCTTTTATCCGCAGAAATGAGTTTCCATGAAAGAGGCACGCTGTGGACACGAGACATGTAAGACTGTTTCCATTCTCATTTCTTTCTCCTAATCGAAAATTTGCGACCCTGTATTCTCCCTCGTTGGCATTCTTAATCTGGCGTTAAAGTCTTAAAGAAAAAATTTATAATATGCTCTGTAGTTGGGATATATTCCTCCAACTGACCGTATAACGCATCTAATTCGTACTCATAAGGTGTATTTGCGATTGAGTAGCAGCTGATGATAGTAATCTTTTCATGACGCGTCAGTTGAAGGGGAAAGACGGCCATTCGAGGGGAGAGGATCTCACACGAGTCGATGAAATGTACGCGTGGATAACGAAGCGTGCCCTACCGACATTTCGTAACGAGACCTCTTTGGCGCGGATGATAAGCGTTCTGTTGCTTACTTGGCATATGTAAGTCTACCTGCCTTCTGTTTCTTATGAAGCGATCACATAAAATTTAATGCGATCAGCAGCTTTAAAAATGGCGTCAAGATCGACGTCTGGAGATCGGTTTTGGTATTGCACGTGCAGACTGAGACACAATCTCCATGGCGTGTCGCATCTGTTCGCCAGTACCGGTTCCAGTGGCGTTCTGCGCAGCCCAAGACTTTGGTGCCTTTCAAAGATCTTGTCAGCGCCTAATTTCATAGTCCGGAGAACCAACTATATAGGTATTGAAGTTGACTTATTGCTGTCGAGCAAGCTGAAATTTTCAGGAATTCTTACTTAATCTTCCAAGGGTGTTTTATGTCTTCACTGCAATCTAGATCCGAGGAAACTATCTTTTCAGCAACCATTCCGTCGTTCCGTTTTCCTACTAGTTGAATCGAAGACGATATTAAAATCGAAATTATAAGTGAATGTGGGGATGGGAAAACAGCCGGCAGCTCAAGCACGATGTTGCAAGCCCGAACTCTGTATCACGTGTATCACCTGTAGACCCGTTGCTCGTCGAGTGACTCGAGCGGGCGCCAGTAAATCTTCCATTTTTCCCTGTCGCGTGCAAGAGTAGCCCAGTGGGTCCTGCTCGCTCTAGGTACTCGTCGAGCACCATATCTTTCTTCAAGGCTCTTTGTGAAAAACTCTGATCATCGGGTCGGTGGTCTTACTGCAGTACGTTTGAAATCCCGAGAAATCCAGTCACTAACGGCTCCTGTCCATCGGTTGTCATTCATACGCATTACGTGTCCAGCCCGACTTATCATCGACTGTTTGGCGTACAGAACGGCACCTTTGATTTTTGATCGTTGACGCAGATCGGAGCTTCGGATCCCATCCCTTACTGGTGTGACACGGGGTGCTCCTAGCATCGTCCTTTCGACTGCGCGTTCGATAACGCTGAGTGACCTTTCATCCTGCTTACGTAGCGACCAGGTTTCTAACGCATGCGTTAGGACAGGAAGCACCGTTGGGTCGAAAAGGTGGGCACGGAGTCGGGTGTTCTTCACTACATCCTCGATGCTCTTGAAAGCTCCCCAAGCCGCTCGTTTTTTTCTGCTCAGCTCTGTAGCTAGGTCGTTCATCACATTAATTTCCCGACCTAGATAGATATAACTGGAGCATTCGGGGATATTCGTTCCGCTGAGCGTGAATGGGGCATACGAAACCAATCCGTTCTTCATGAACATCGTTTTTGTGAGATTTATTCGAAGACCAATCGTTCCACAGGCTTTATCAAAGTCGTCAAGCATACGTTCCGCTTGGCTAATGTTTGGTGTTATAAAGACGATTTGATCAGCAAAGCGAAGATGGTGTAACTGTCAAACATCGATTTCCACTCCCATATTATCCCATTCCAATGTTCGCATAAAGTTTTAGAGGGTGGCGGTAAATGATTTTGGCCGGATGGTATCGCCTTGCCTAACTCCTGTTTTGATGTCAATGTTCATGTCGTCGTAGAGCGGTGATACATTGGTGGTGATATTTGTGTACAGCTTACAAAGAATCTTTATGTACTGCGTAGGGACTCCTTGACTATCAAGGGGTTCCGTGACTGCTTCCATCTCAATTAAATCAAAGGCCTTCTGTAAATTGATGGAATTGAGACAGAGCGGTCTATTGTACTTTCGCGATACTTCAGTGAGTCTTGTTATGGTCTGGATGTGGTCTATCGTACTAAATCCTTTTCGAAAACCTGCTTGCTCACTATTCGTCCAGTGTTCTGTCAATCCTGTTTAGGATGACTCGTCTGAAAAGTTTGTAGACGATAGACAGCAAGCAGATTGAGCGATAGTTGCCGTTATCGTGTAGGTCACACTTCTTGAACAGTAACACTGTCTTACTGGTCTTCCACTAGGTAGGGACCTTGCATTCATACAGGTAATGTGTGAGGAGCCGTTCGAGTGTGTTTACAAAGACTGGCGGAAGGTTCTTCAGGTGTTCTGATCTTATCCTTTGCGGACCTGGTGCTGTTCAATTTTTCATCGACGAAATAGCATGTCGTATTTCGGAAAGGAGAACCGGTGGCGCGACGTATCTTCTTTACTTCACATAATTGAAGGAGGACGTCACTATTGAAGAGATCTGCGTAGTATTCGTAGGCGATCTTCTCCATTGCCTTTGTGAACACTATGACTGTCCCTTCTGGAAGTCGGAGTGCAATCAGCTTGGTTTTGGATTTGGCGAAGCTTCGGTGGAGTTTGCGAATGCTTTTTCAAGCCTCTGCAACTTCAACCTTAAGTGCTGCTGTCCTCTCTTTAAGATCTTCTTTTATCGCCGAGTGACGTCGTGCCTTATCCTTTTTACTTGCGTGATCAAGTCTTCTATCAATGACTCGGATGCAAGTGTGGCTGTGTAGGTGCAGATCGTCACCATAGTTCTTTGTAATCCAGGCAGCTTCCATTTTCCCTGAGATTTTAGCAGCCTTTCCGTACTCGTCCTACCAACGCGGCGAAATTGGGGCTCTTTCGGGGTAAGGAGAATAAGGCCCGTTTTTTTTTTACTCTCTTTAGCATCTTAATACCTACGTATAGCTTGCTAGGCTCTGAACGTGGGGTTTGCGTACACTCACGTGTAGCTTCCCAGTATCTGCTAGAGTGGGCGTGGAGCTTATTTGTTGGAGGCGACTTCTAACTGCCTCCCATATACTTCCTTGTCACTTGATTGCAAGCTTTTGGCCTAACTGACTCGTGGAATACAATCCGTATAAGCGAGAAAACGCCCACGTACGCATGCGTCAATGCGCCCTCGTAAATACAGAATGTGTGTGGCATATCTGCGCTGCAGAAGCGGAGTTCGCATTTGGATGCAACTGCGTCTCAGGGAAGCAAAGGTCGTTTTGTGTCCGCTATTAACTCCCTGTCCGGCATTTGGCGACGCGCCACCTATCCTTGCGGCTAACCAACTCCAAAACCCTCATATGAGGGAGATCCGTTTCGTCGAACTGATAACCAAATAGAATTTATTTATTGAACTCGTGCAGACTCAGCAAACTGAACACTTGCTCATTTATTACACCGAGGGTTAAAAGAAAGTGGTCTTTGAAAAACTGGTAAGAAGGCATAAAATTATACCAAAAATATTCTTGTTAACTTTTAGCGTTGTTAAGAAAATGAAACATTCGGTTTCAGTGAATATATATGAAGCTAAGATCTGCTTTAGGAATCGCATCCAGTGACAAGCATCCCGAACTTCCATGAGGAAATAAACTATGTGTGAGTCGGCATTACAAATTTTTGTTAATAAAGACAGCGAGGTCAAGTATTATCGTCGTCATCTTGTCATCTTGGTTTTGATACCAGTGATACGCATCGGAGACATGCGTCCTAGTTTGAAAAGATCCGATTTTTTAGTACAGTGTACTTTGTTAGCTTGTCCAAAAACATACTGTTGTCAATATTTTTAGCACAGCTCCGCTTTTCCAATTTAGATCTGCTTGATCACCTTCGTTTTCGGTGAGAGTGTGAAGTAGATTTGGCTAGCGCCATTCCTCGCCGCCTATTCGACATTGTTCAGATGAACACCACGTGGTTAACACAGAGTTTATTCGCACTAATCTTCTAACTATCATTGTCGAATTATAGAGTTGCCCTTATTTAAAGAACGAACAGGAACAACATAGATAAAACATCTCTGTGGGAATGAACTAGTTGGAACAAATACCAGAGTCCACTCGGCCCAACGACGAGTTTGGTCTCCACCGTCTACGCCATGTAATGTTATGATGTTTCTCGAGCACTGTCGATGCATGGTGACCAGAATATTGTAAATACAAAACGAAAACTGTGCAGCTATTTTGTGGTTAGGTTGTTTCAGAGGCAGCAGCGATTTTCATCGTCATGAAGTTTGCGAAAGATTTTTGTAAAAACTGTTCATCACTCACCTTCTAGCTGCATGCAACATAAAAGCTGATTTGATGCTTAACTACTTTATCGTAATCTCTTTTCTAACTTTTACTTCACCATAACAAGGTTAAATTGATTAATTGTGCCAGTTTTTGTTTTTTTTATAATGATTACGTGTCTCGTCTTCCCACGTCCACAGTGCCAATTTTATCACTGCATTCGATTCGTTTTCATGGCATTCGTCGTCCACAAAGGAGTTCCGACATTTTCTGTTTTCTTTTGACTTCTGATTCAGGATTTCGCCTTCTTTATGAATGTCGTAAAATGTTACTGGAGCCGATTCTGTCTAAAATTTAAGGACAGCCATGTTAGGGCGCCCCAACGAATATTGGGGGGAGGCGAGGTCAAACTAACGCCTTGCTTTCTGATGGATTGAATCGCTCACAACTCCGCTTTTTCACCTCCGTACCAAATTGGCCAGTGTGCAAGGAATTAGTTTTATCTTGCATCATTGCTTCAAATTAGGACATAAATGAGAAAGGATAAAGGGTAAAGCTCTCAGGGTTGATCAATCCCTGAGGAATGCGCCATGAATACGACTTCATTAAGCGTTGTTTGGAGGTGATTGAATGCATATCTGGCCTTTACAATGAGTCGCACTGGCCTAATGCTGTATCGAGCCAGTGCTGCTATTCTCCCAGACAATTCTGGTACCAATTTAACGATCCCGGAGGGATGGAAGGCTTGGTGGGCCATGAGCGCAGGCATCAATTCCACGTGTGTTGCATGGCGCCTCCGACCACTGCGCTGCAAGCGCCACAAACTAGGACATGGTTCATCAGAAGCAGAGCGGAATGTAGTCAACCGTAGGCCGACATAGTGTTTCCGAATGCACAGAACGCAGTTGCTTTTTCACTGAATAAATGGGGGATAGTGACTGGTAGCTCACTGGTAGTTGACGACGGCTACGTGAAGACGACAGTAGTAGGCAAACCTCAAAAACGATTCAAGAGATTGGAAACATAGGGAGTCCCCTCTCATGTATTACTTACTTTTTATTTTCTGCCTTATATAAATTTTATGGCAATGTATTAAGCGAAATACAAATACAATATTGCTGAGATAACTCGTATATAATGCTGAGATATTTGCAAAACTCCGGACCGCAGGTGTACGCGGTGGGGAACGAACGTGCTATTGTCCTTACAGGGGAGTAGCGCACTTCAGCACCACACCATCCGGGTCCTTCGTTTTGACTGTTTTTCAGCTAGTTTTAATGATCTTTTGCCATCAGCAATCACCCGTCAACGGGATTGATCTGGGGAGCCCAAAGGCATTGAACCCAGTTAAGCTGAGGCTTAGTTATAATCACATTCTTAACCCTTTTATTTACTGCCTTTTTTTTTTTAATGGCAGATATGTTGCGAAATATAACTCGTATATAATGCTGAGATATTTGAAAAACTTCGGACCGCAGGTGTACGCGGTGGGGAACGAACGTGCTATTGTCCTTACAGGGGAGTAGCGCACTTCACCACTGCATACACCTGCGGTCCGGAGTTTTGTAAATATCTCATCATTATATACGAGTTATATTTCGCAACATAGCCTACCATTAAAAAGAAAAAGGCAGTAAATAAAAGGGTTAAGATTGCTGAGATATTTGCGAAACTTCGGGCCGCAAGTGTACGCGGTGGGGAACGAACGCTGTATTACTCTTTCCGGGGAGTAATGCGTTCACCACCACACCATGCGGGTCCTTCGTTTCGCCAATTCCTCAGCTAGTTTTATCCATCTCTGCCGTCAGAAATCACCCTTCAACGAGATTGATCTTTGCCGTCAGCAATCAACCGTCAGCGGGACTGATCTGGAGAACTAGCTGAGAAACAGACGGAGCAAAGGACCCGTAGGTGCTGCGGTCTGGAGTTTTGCAAATATCTCAGCAATATTTTGCCGGTATAATATATTTAAAAGCTGTTGCTATAGCATTATTAAAAGCATTAAGAAGACGTCGAACAGACAAACTCCATCGTTTTTTTATCACCTAAAACATAGATCGATATGATTAATCCTTTTTTGACGCATTGGTAACGTTGTATGTCCAATTTCATGTCATAATGCACTTTCTTGATTTCCAATAGTAGACGGTATTTCTCTATAACTGAAAGACTTCAAGTGTTGAAAATATCGCAGGATTATAGAGTTGACTGTGGTTACCCAATTCACTGCTTGCTATATGTTTCTATGGCTCACCACACAATCGCACTACTTCTGCACAGTCAGTTGGAAATCCATGTTTCACGGAGTTTGTAATTGAAGTAAATGTCCATTACCAATAAAGTCAGAGGGCAACGAACCCATTTGTAGACGGTCACTTGTATATTTACAAGCTCAAAATGAGAATTTTC